GTCCCGCGGGGGTGGGGCATCTGGGCCGGGCGCCCCAGCCAGGAGCCAGCCGGTGCCCACCAGCCAGCATGGGCCCTGGGCGCCACTAGTTAAATCTTGAGCTCTGTTTGACCAAGCAGCCAAGGTAAAGATCCTGGAGGTGATGCCTGCGGCTTTCCTTTCCTCTCTGCTCAACTCGTGGTTCTGTTTTGTATTCACTGTCCTCTCTTCCTAACTGCTCTTTGTGTCTTGGTCCCAACCTTATTTACCTTTGTTCTTTCTCTGTCCCTGTTCCCTACTCTCTGCCTAACACTCCCTTCCTCTCTCTTTTTTTAATTTTGTCTGGTCTTTAGTTTTTTTCCCTTTTTGATTTTTGGGCCTTTGTCACTTTCTCCTTTTTCTCATACTCATTTCTTCTATATTCCTGCCCCAAGGTCCTGTTGAAATGTTTTATTTTTTATGCTTCACCCTAACCCTCTAGCCCTCCTCTCTATCCTTGAGGCTATGTGGGGACTTCAGTTCTCCCTTTGGTCTTTTCCTGTCCCTTCACCACCTTGCTGATCTTCCCAAGGGGGGAGAAAGGTGTCCTGCCTTTTGGCTTTTTCTGTCCAGTGCACTTCAGGTTTCCTTCTGACTTCCACCTAGGGTTGGAGGGGATTGGCGGGAGCCGGAATGACTAATCTGGGGTTGGCAATGAGAGGGAGGTTCTTTGGGGCCAACTGTTCCCTTAGCCTTCCTCTCTGGAGCTTGGGAAATTAATACTTTTTTAAGTTAGTGTTTCCCAGAGACTCAGAGTCATAAATCTGCCTCTCCAATCCTGGCCTCCCACTGTAGACACTGATCTTCCCAAATCCAGAACTCTTAGTTCCTGGTTCTCTCTGTATTATTTCAGAGTACAACCTGTGGTTCCTTTTGGGGTGTTGGGTGGTTCTAGTGCACCCCTCTCCCCTAACCTGTCTGCTTTTATGACCTTTTGTGGGTATGAGGATGGAGGCTATGCCCCGCCTTCCTGGGCCCCTCCCCGCATCCTAGCCCTGGCCTTTGGTGACTATTTTGTCTCTCCCTCCCCTCCTTCCTTCCCAGGTTTCGGTCTAAGTACCACCCAGATGAGGTGGGGAAGCGTCGGCAGGAAGCCCGGGGGGCCCTGCAAAACCGACTGAGGGTGTTCTTGTCCCTCATGGAGAGTGGCTGGTTTGATAATCTTCTCCTGGACATAGACCGAGCTGATGCCATTGTCAAAATGCTGGATGCAGGTGTGTGGACTTGGGCAAGTGGAGGCTCTCAGGTGACAAGGATTGCAGTTGGGAAATGGAAGCTGGGTGAGAGAAGGCAGGTCATTGACTGTGATCTTTGCTGGCCTTGTGGATAGCTGTGATTAAGATGGAAGGAGGCACAGAGAATGATCTACGCATCCTGGAGCAGGAGGAGGAGGAGGAACAGGCAGGAAAGCCTGGGGAGTCCAGTAAGAAAGAGGAAGGCCGGGCTGGAGCAGGCCTGGGCGACGGAGAACGAAAGGCTGGTGATAAGGATGACAAGAAAGAAGATGGCAAGCAGGTTTGAACGGTGGGGTCCCAAAGAGCTGGAACTAGAGGGCTGTGTGTGGGGCAGGGGTAGGGAAGGTGAAACTCTGGGCTCAGAGGTTGTGGGGGCTGATAAAGGTGAAGGGGAGATTGGACATCCCCAGCGGTGGTCTTTACCTGTAGGCAGAAAATGACAGCTCTAATGATGACAAAACTAAGAAATCTGAGGGCGATGGGGACAAGGAGGAGAAGAAAGAAGACTCAGAGAAGGAAGCTAAAAAGGTAAGGTGTCTATTGTGTGGGGCCAGCAGTCCTGCTGAGTCCTGGTTTACCTGACAGCCTCTCCTCCGTGACTCCCACAGAGTAGCAAGAAGCGAAACAGGAAGCACAGTGGTGACGACAGCTTCGATGAGGGCAGTGTGTCAGAGTCTGAGTCTGAGTCTGAGAGTGGCCAAGCTGAGGAGGACAAAGAAGAGACCGGTGGGCTGCACAGGGGTAGGGTGAGGGGAGAGGGTGGTGAAGTTTGGAGGGAGGTGGCTTTGGGGGAGATGACCTTGGCTTGGGGGTCCGTGACAGCTTTTCTGTCTGCTCCACCAAAATCAATGCTAAAACCTCACCAACTCCTACCATTTCTGCATAGAAGAAGGACTTAAGGAAAAGGAGAAGCCCAAGGAAGAGGAAAGGGAGAAGCCTAAGGATGCTGCCGGGCTGGAATGTAAGCCCCGGCCTCTGCATAAGACTTGCTCCCTCTTCATGCGAAACATTGCACCCAACATCTCCCGGGCTGAGATCATCTCTGTGAGTGGGGAAACTGGTATCGGGCAGTCAGCCTGGCACCAGGCATAGATCCTTTGGGGTGGGGAGCAGAGAGAAGGCAGACTGGTTCTGTATGTCAAACGGGGAGCCTCCTTCCCATGGGCCCCTGCTATAAAAGAGCTGGTCCTGCTTGCCCTGTCATGTGCTGGGCTGCTTAAGCGCTTTGTTGGTTTTTCCTTGCCCAAAGATAGGGTTAAAAATGAAGTGTCCTGGGGGGTTAGAGGAACATGTGATTCCTTGAATCCCTGAATGTGGTATCTGTTCTCCCTGCTTTTTGCAGCTTTGTAAAAGATACCCAGGTTTTATGCGTGTGGCACTGTCGGAGCCACAGCCTGAGAGGAGGTGAGGAACTGGACACCTCAGAGAAGGAGGTACAGGGGAATTGGTTTATGGCCCACACTGTCTCCCACCTGGAATGGTGCTGATATTCTTTCTCTTGTAGGTTTTTCCGTCGTGGCTGGGTGACGTTTGACCGCAGTGTTAACATTAAAGAGATCTGTTGGAACCTGCAGAATATTCGAGTGAGTGTTGGGAATGGGACTGTTGTAAAAGAAGAGAGCATGTGGCTGTGTCCCCTGCATGACTTCTGACTCCCTTTGTTCTGCCCACTTTCATCCATTCACTCTGCTTATGTTAACTGTCCGGTCCTGTCTGTGGCAGGACCGCTTTGGACCCTGTCCTCAGGGACTTCACAGAACACCGGTCACTGGTGTCCTCAGTCTGTGAGCTGCTGTTCCCGGGGCAGCTGTTGGTCAGCTTTCTGTGTCTTCCTTGCAGCTCCGTGAGTGTGAGCTGAGCCCAGGTGTGAACAGAGACCTGACCCGGCGTGTGCGCAACATCAATGGCATTACCCAGCACAAGCAGATAGTGCGCAATGACATCAAGCTGGCCGCCAAGCTGATCCATACGCTGGATGACAGAACTCAGCTCTGGGCCTCTGAGCCAGGGACACCTCCTCTGCCAACAGTCAGTGACTCCCCAGGGGACCATTTCCAAAGCAGCTGACACCACCTCTTGTGCTCCTTATACCCTGACCTCACTTGCTCTGTGGCAGTCTGTGTCCTCTTGTGCTTACCCATGCCTTCACTTTTTTGTCTTCCTTTGGGTCACCACCTCCATCTTCCACCAGAATCTGTGTTGGGGCGGGGCAAGTACAAGTGACAGCAGAGGTGACAGTAACAGGAGCCAGGCTCCTCTCCCCTGCCCTCCTTTGTAATTTGCAGGTTCCTGCCCTGAAGGGACTTCTGTGTCTCTTTGTCCCTTCTCCCTCCCTGCCAGAGTCTGCCCTCCCAGAACCCAATCCTGAAAAACATCACTGATTACTTAATCGAGGAAGTGAGTGCTGAGGAAGAGGAGCTACTGGGGAGCAGTGGGGGGGCTCCCCCTGAGGAGCCTCCGAAGGAAGGGAACCCAGCGGAGATCAATGTGGAACGGGATGAGAAGCTGATCAAGGTGCCAGCTGTAGTCTTGTAGTGGGGTTGGGGAGCATGGGTTTGGAGGTGAAAGTGTGTCTTTTTTTCTTTTGAGACAGGGTCTCACTATGTAGTTCAGGCTGGCCTTGAACTCACTATGTAGCCCAGGCTGGCCTTGAACCTGAGGTGATCGTCCTGTCTCAGCCTCCTGAGTTCTGGGATCATAGGCATGTGCCACCACATCTGGCCTTAGTTACTTTCTTGTAGCTAAGACAAAATACTTGACACACAATTCTAGGGAGAAAAGGTTTATTTTGGTTCAGTTTGTAGAGGTTTCATTCCATAGTCCGCTAGCTCCAAGCCAGGCAGCATAGCAGAACAGGAAGAGCGCATGGCATGGTAATAGGAAGGAAAGAGACAGAGAGGGGCAGAGGGATCAAGGGAACAGGTAGGAAGGAAAAACGTTTCAGTCACACCTCCATCCAGTGACCTACCTCCCACCTAGCTTCACCCCTTAAGTCATATTTAACTATAAACTCAGCAGTGGACTAATCCCTAAGAATCACACCCACATGTTCTACCTCCCCAGTGCCCACCCGTAAGCACCTGAGGCTTTGGAGGGACATCTAGATAAAAACAAGGGGCCAGAGTGGGGACTCAGTGGCTTCCTGTCCCCTTAGGTTTTGGACAAGCTCCTCCTCTATCTGCGCATCGTACATTCCCTGGATTACTACAACACCTGCGAGTACCCCAATGAGGACGAGATGCCCAATCGCTGTGGCATCATCCACGTTCGGGGGCCCATGCCTCCCAACCGCATCAGTCACGGAGAAGGTGCACCCCAGGTTCCTTGTTCCTGAGTCCTCTTCCATCTGTTTGTTTTTTCAGCTCTTGCTGGTCACCTCCGTTGGCAGTACTCTGCTACCCTCTCCTGATCACCTCCTGACCCTTCTGCATACTCCTTCAGTCTGCTTTTCTCTGTTCTCCACCACAGTGCTGGAGTGGCAGAAGACATTTGAGGAGAAGCTGACCCCTCTGCTGAGTGTGCGGGAATCCCTCTCTGAGGAAGAAGCCCAGAAAATGGGCCGCAAAGATCCTGAGCAGGAAGTGGAAAAATTTGTCACCTCTAACACTCAGGAACTGGGCAAGGATAAGTGGCTATGTCCACTCAGTGGCAAGAAATTCAAGGTCTCAGATGTTAAGAGAACTGGCCTGTTAGAATGTTGGGAGGCGGGTTTGGGCCTTGGGAAAATGCTCAGGGGCTTGGCAGGGGGAGGCTGTCCACCTGGAATTGGGGGAGCTCACGTTATTTGCTCTGTCCTGATCTTTTCCTCTCCACCCAGGGTCCTGAGTTTGTTCGCAAACATATCTTCAACAAACACGCAGAGAAGATTGAGGAGGTAAAGAAGGAAGTGGCGTTCTTTAACAACTTCCTCACGGATGCCAAACGCCCAGCTCTGCCTGAGATCAAGCCGGCCCAGCCACCCGGCCCTGCCCAGAGTAAGATACGATCCGAGAGGGTCTGGTGCATTTCTTTCACTATGCAGGATTCCTTTCTCTTTCTGTCATCTCCTGAGAAGTTTCTACTGAATAATGAGGCCATATTCCTTAGAAGTAGTCACTTGTTACCCCTCCCGCAGTAATTCATGTCCCTGTCCGTGTTGTACTCCCCCCAGGTCTGACTCCGGGACTCCCCTACCCACACCAAACTCCCCAGGGCCTGATGCCCTATGGCCAACCCCGGCCCCCCATTTTGGGCTATGGAGGTAAGCATGGCGGGGGCGGGGGTGAAAGGGCTTGGTGATTGTGTGGAGCTGGGAGGAAGGAGACTTAGGCTGAACACTTGATTTTTTTCACAGCTGGTGCTGTGCGCCCTGCAGTCCCAACAGGAGGACCTCCATACCCCCATGCCCCATATGGTGCCGGCAGAGGGAACTATGATGCTTTCCGAGGCCAGGGTGGCTATCCTGGGAAACCTCGCAGCAGGTGAGGACAGGATGAGGTGTCCAAGATCCTTGTGTCCAGCACACACAGAGACCCTCAGGTCTCATTGCCTTTTATCTCACAGGATGGTTCGGGGAGACCCCAGGGCCATTGTAGAATATCGTGACCTGGATGCCCCGGATGATGTTGATTTCTTTTGAGCAGTCCATTTTTCCCCACTCTACTGCCTGCCTCATCCCATCAGCTGAGAATTTTTTTGTACGTTCAGTTTACTGCCAATAAAAGCACTGAAGTTAGTGACTCTTAAAAGTCAAGGTGTTTGCATACCTTCTCACATCCTCCCAAATACCAGCTGGGACCATGGTTAGCTGGGCCTTGTTATTTATTGATGCTGAAGTTCCCTCTGCCTTGCTGGGACACTGGAGAAGTGAGTAGGTGCACAGGTGTGGGGTCAGTTTCAGTCCTGGGTGTGCTGCTACTTTTTAGAGTTACAGCTGGTGAAACACAGGTTGTAGAAGGAGGTGGGATTGAAGGCGGTGCTCACCTCTTGCCAGCCCACCCACCCGGCAGCCTGTAGTTCTTTAGGGTTTTTCGAGGCTCCCCAGTAGTGAGGGTCCAATATCAGGACGTAGGCTTCGGTGCCTGGCCCCACGCAGACGCCCAGCAGGGCCTTGGCCTGGGCATCAGCATCTCCTCCCACCATCACAGGGCCGCCGCCCCTTTCGAAGTGGGAGTAAAGCCGCTGCAGCTCGCCGTGAAGCCCCGCTCCACGGGGCACGTGGCACAGACGCCCCTGGGGCCCTCCGAAGTGTGCGAGGCAGAGGCTGGCCTCCACACAGCCGATCCAGCTCCGGGAGCCCCGGAACCCAGGGGGCTTGTCGCCCATATCCTCCAGGGCGGCCTGCACGGCGTTCAGTCCAGGCACGCCCTCGGCCTGGCCCGAGGGC